TGAAATATCAGAAGAGTAAAGATGTATCGGATACCAAAACCGTCAAACATTGTTTTAATTACTCAAATAGAAGAAAGCTGGGTAATTTTTATTTGCCTGTGAAGAATGTTCTGCTTAAGCCAAAACAAATTCTTTACCAGTTCTTTTAAAAAGTCTGGAAGTATTTAAGTTTCTCTTCCCTGCATATGAGACAATGCCTGTTAGTGAGCCAGTGCTGCATGGGATAATACTCTTCATCTGTAACAACCTGTCATTCAGCTGGTCAGTAAACTAATTAAGTGTGGTTGTTAATTGTTTCAGTAATACGGTTTATTAAGTTTGAGGTTTCTTACTCTGTTTGTCACGCCTATAGGGAAAAAAGAAAGCAACAATCCAAGGTCTGTGCCTGTTGCATAGTTTACAGAAAGTTAAACAGTGTATCCATTCACTTCTGCTATTGTGGTATGTGAAATGCGGTCTTTTGAGCTGAATCCCAGAGTCATTAGCTATTAACTCAGGCAAAGCACCTATCGATTTCAATCATAATTAATCATGTGACACTCCTTTATTTATGCCTGTAATTGTGGTTTTTAACTAACAGCTTGTGACAAGGATTTTTAGTTTGGGTCACGCAGGAGTGGGAGTCCCAGGAAATGCTGAGGTCCCTCGGCCAGAATCCTCTACGGTTGCCCTGAGACTAATTGTCAGACTGGGCTCTCTACTGCACTTTACAGGGAGCTGAATAAATTCCTTCTACTGCCTTAGCAGAGGGATTTCAAGAATATAATCCTTCCTTTTCCCTGGTATTGGAAAACACATGGAACAGTGGTGGCAGTGCACAACTCAAGTACTGTTAGTGCTCCAAGGCTGTGGAGATGGGGCAGAGGCTGGAGTCTGGACAAATGAACAAAGAGGTGATGTGGCTTGGGGTGGCCTTTGTGCACCAGCACAGGGTCAGCCAGAATTTCAGTCTACCAGAGGGAATATTCAGTACTTCCTCCAGTTATATAAAATATTGGCATAGAAGCCCAGGCACGCATGGGGAAAAATATGTGGATTCGAAACAATACTTTCAGTGTCTGCGAGTGCCTTACCCAGGAAGAACTTTGTTTTATAGCACTACCATGTGTGCCTTATACTGCTGCTGCTGAGCCTCTTTCAGCACAGTTGAGCTCTTTTATACCAGTCCTTCATGACTTCTTTGCCTTCTGAACCAATAAGAATTATCTCCAAATCATAAGCTTGTGACAGAGGTATCATTCATGAAAGTCTGTTCTTTTTTCCAGAAGCCCTCAGGAATACAGGCTAGATTAGTTTAAAATGTGTGGTTGATGGATAGAAAAGTGTAAACCTAAGCTTAGGGAATGGCGGCATCTTCATGCATAGTTCAAGCTGTATGCTTGTGTTTAGCTTCCCTGCTTATTTTAGGCTCATACTTACATGTTGGAGTTGTGTTCAATGGTGAGGCAAACTAAAAATAGTTATGGATTCCCCCAAGTGACTTTTCCAGTCACTTGTGACTCAGAGACTGGAACCGACTATCTGAAGTACTAATGAGTTCTTTTCAGGAGTAGGAAGTGGGGGAAGACTTTTGAAGTGGATAGAAGTTACCTATAAGTTTTTTGAGACCTGTAGAAACAGAGCTTCAGTTCATTGGTGCTTAGGGTTTGTGAAAGAGAGGAGCATCTAAAGAAACTAGCTGGCTAGCAAACAGTTTGTGCAGTGCCATGAGTGTAGAAAGTATAGAAGCACTATTAGATGTACGAGAAATCTGGGGTTTTTAGCCATAGAAGAACTCTCTGTTTCTGCTTGGCTTAGGACTTTGTGGAGCAGTCATTTTTTCTGATGCACAGCTCCAAAACTACACAGATCTTACACCACTAGGAGCCCCATGTGGCAGTTGCTTTTCCTCACTGGCCAGTTTCTACAATGATCTGGATGTTAATCAAATTATCATTGATTCTTCAAGCTTTAATTCACCATAGAGGCAGTGGGAGCAACAGCTTTAATCATTGCCAGTTTTTACTGACAGGACTACAAACCACAGTTGCCAGATGACTCAGACTTTGGCATCCTTACTTTTGCGCATGGTTTTTATATGGAAATTTGAAAAAGTTATGACCACAGAGATCATGATTTTCAGTAGAGTGCAAATGCTGTAGCACCACACCTAAACTAAAAGTGGGCTTTAGTCCATATTCTTACTCCTCTTTTTTTTCCCTTTGTTTTATATGCTTTTAATTTACTACTGTTAAATGATACCTTTTCTATTCTGGGGAAAAGTAAAAAAAAAAGGACAGTTCTTGATGGGATGTTTGTTCTCATGTCAGTGGAGTCTTGCCATGACACACACGAGCTGCTAGGACCCGTCCTTGAGGCGTGTGACCTTGCAGAGGAGCACTGGGTGTTAGGTAATGTGCCTCGCTGCCCAAATGCTTCATTTCTGAGATCATAACGGGAGGTGCAGCACCAGCCTTGATTCTTCCCACTTTTCGGAGAGAGGAGAGTTGTAAAACTGAGGCACAAGGCAGGGAGAAGAGTTGAGTACAAATTGCTTTAGCTGAATTTCAGTAACAGCCACAGTATTTAACTTTAGTAAGTGGCTTCCCTGTCTTTGGAGAAGCAATCCCAGCTTTAGGAAATGAATTGAGCAGCTGTAATTAGGAAGTAAAACTGAGAGCTATGATTATAAAGTAAAATGGTCCTTCCTAGAGCACACTCAACTGGGATGCAGGTTGGGAAGCCAGTGTTGTGTGAAGATGTAACATAAATTCTCTAAGGTTTTAGGTCAGCTACTCAGGGGAGTCATTATGAGTACTCTCCAGTTTAAAGATTTTTGAGCTTCTGGGAGCTGCAGCAAGAGCTGTATATCACCTAGCTAGAGGCAGTTGAAAGAGCTAGTTCCAGTTTTGAAAAAAGCTGAGCTGCTGCAGCAGAGGGAGTTGGGCAGAATTCCCTGCTTGTGCATCCTGACAGCCTTTGTGAAGTGCCAGGCCGAGAGCTGCTTATGGAGACAGAGCTCAGCAGACTCTGACTGATCAGGAATCTCAAACTAACCCTGCTAGTGTAGGACAGCCTGAAAGGCACGTGTTCACCTAGTGTAAGCTCATTTGAAATGTGGGACTTGCCTAGATTACTGTTTTAACACAGCCAAATACCATCCAGGCCAGGACTGTTTTTCACCCCTCAGAACATGGGGAAAATTTGTCACAAGACACTCTGCAGATGATAGTGTGAAAATAGACTCCTAAAGTTGCACGATAACTGAGCAGTCTCTTTTAACCTGTTTGACCACTCAGTTCTTTAAGCTGTTCATGTGTCACCCTAAAATGAGGCTCAAAGTGCAAGTAGTGCTACCCGGTGCAGGAGTGATGTGCAGAGGCCCACTGTAACTTGGCTAAGTTGCCCTGGTACGAAAAGCTCTGTATGAATTATCTCAAATAATAAATTATCTCTGTCACGAGAGAGACTGGCTGTCACGGGGACAGAGGATGCTGCTAGCGGCTCACACGTCCCTTGACAGACAAGTGCTGAGCTGCTGCAGGTTACGCATTGTAATTTCATGTTTAAGCAGTGAACTGGTGCTGCTTTTAATTTCTTGCTGAGATATTTCAGGAGCGACCTGGGGAGTATCTGTGAAAAAGGGGTGGAGAAGATGGCTGGGATGATGCCTTGCCAGCTGTCCCTATGCAAAGAGAGGCCTCTGATGAGTCAGAGTCCTGAGCTGTGGGGTAGCCTGCTATCCTGTTAGTAGTCACACTGTGAAGCTGCACAGACTGATTAGGTACTTCAGAAACATCATTGCCTCATGGGTGTCAGTAAGATTAAGAGTACACGGGAAAAATTTTGGGAAGGTTAGAGGAAGCCTGTTCGTTCAGCACACATACCCACTGTGGATTGCCTGGGTTACCAGGAAAGAGAAAGCATCTGCAAGGCCACAGCCTGTGCCGTAGGATGAGCTGGCTTATCTTGAGCTGAAAGCTAAGCAGCAGTGAGCGTTTGGGCCAGAGGTTTGTATGCTGTCAGGAAGGAAAGTTAGATTAGGGAAGGTCTATTCTCTGCCTACTGAGGATTCACACTTCAGCACGTTTGAATTGTTTGCTGTGGTGCCTCTTTATGTCAGCGTTTGCCTTGAGAGTGTTACTGAGTGCAGCTGTTGTACACTTCTTTTGTGCTTTGTGCACTTCCATTTTGTACCTGATTGGCAGGTTTAGATGTATTTTTTAATGGCTGCATCTCAGATATAGATGTAAGCTTTCTTTACCGTGCAAAATGGAAGGAAACTGGAAAAGTCAAGAACATAATTAATACCTATTCATCTTCCAAAATTAGTATTCTTATTAATAAAAAGCTAAATATAAAGTAATATTAACTTCAGGAATTATTGCAAGATTAATATAAATATTTGCATGGGGAGAAAAACACTTGTTTGGAATAACACAGACATCACTAACTTCGGCTTCAGTCATCTGTGTTACCTTCTTCAGTATCTGGACAGCAGAATCTGTCATTATAGCTTGACAATATTCAGTCAGTGATCATAAACATTAAACATAAGTGATCAGGAAATTGAGGCTTTTTAATAGGAAAAGGTATAGAAATCATAGTCTAACTTTTTGTCTTTCTTTAAGAGAGTGATTAGAAAGGTATTTGACATAATTTATACCAAAAAAGTGGAAAAGCGTGTTGTTATGAGGCAAAATGTAGGGAATAGATGCCAATGGCAAGTTACTGCCTTGGAAATGTGCTCACTCATTCATATGATGCATTGTTCTCTTCTGTTTCTCTCTCTGTCTTTACAAGTTGACACAAGGGAAGATAATAATGTTGCCTGCTTTGCTCTTGCCTGTGTAGAGAGCCATTGCAATGCATGGGCACTATTTAGGTTCTGCCAAGAGCTGCAGTGAATCTTCAGTGTCCTAGCAAGAGGTCAACCTAGAGCGACTGGAAAAGAGCATTGTAGTAGAAGTGAGCATCATACAGTGTGACTAACCAGAGTATTCTTTACTTGACTATTCCAGTGTGGCAAAGCACTTCCTGGCCTTTCCAAGCAAGAAGACTGCTGTGGAACCGTGGGTACTTCCTGGGGCTTTAACAAATGCCAGAAGTGTCCCAAGAAGACATGTAAGTGCTGTTTTGTTGTTATTCTCTGGATCAGTTTATTGCTTTATTTCCCCTCAAGTATTTTTCCTTTTTGGAGGAAAAAAAAAAAGGCACCTAGTAGAAAGAATATGCTATGATTTGATGAGGGACAGGTTGAAGAAACTGGAATTCTCTTGCATACCAGTGGAGTTACAATATGCAGGAACTCGGTGAAGCCAGCAAAGTTAACATTGTTGGGTTTTTTTCCCCCCCTTACTCCTTATTTAAGTCAGTGATGCACTGATGCCTTTTCTCAACAGGAAGGATAATGACATTGAATCATCTTGCCTCTTCCAGCTGGCTTTTTTTTCTTTATAGTTTCCACAGAAATGTTAAATTATGGAGGCGCCAGTTACTGCTTGGAGAGAATGCAGTGACCTCTTGGGACTCCGGATGAACTTTCAAGTTTGGAGCCGAAGTTTTCCGGGCTCCAAATTGTCAGTTACATTTTTTCACTCTGCTTTTGAAGTTTTCCTCAACAATTAGCCAATGACAAAGACTTTCCTCACTGTTTTGTTATGACTTGACATCCTATTATAATGAGAAGGAAATTTCAAATTAATTGCATAATAGGTGAAGCTAGTCTCTTCGGCTTTTTGGGCATTACATTATTGTTGCACAGGATTAGTAATACTTCTTTGTCATGTCATCACTAAATAAAAGATGAGAAAAGATAATGTAATCTCTGTTTTGCAGAAGGAGTAGACCTGCATTTAGTGCGCTAAAAAAAGAGCAGGGAGTTGCAGTCCTTCTTATCTGGGCCTTCTAGGCCCCTGTTATTTGTACAAATAACAACACTGGAACCATGTTCGGTGTTTGATGTTTTTTGGAAGGATATTTTTGTCCATGACACTTACTGTGGATGTAAATACAATTCCAACAGAAAACCTGCTGTTACTCCTACTTCTCTGACTCCTCCTTCCACAGGAGGGACTGTTACAAATTTATGCTGACTCAGTCTGATCTAGTTTATTAAGCATTTAAAATTTGTGTTTTGAAGTATGTTTATTTTCTGATGTGCTTCCAAAAGAGAGCCTCCTTGGAGTATTTGAGGGCCATAGTTAATAAAAGACTTGAGTATCTAAATTTTTTTTCCGGTAGCACATAAATACAATTTCTGACAGAGGCATGCGTTCTGTATTGGTGTGTGAATTATGAAATGTGTCCACATTTTATGGCTTTCCCCAGAGAAGTGGCAGTTTAACTGCAACTGAAAGTCTGGTTCATGAGAAGCATGTGGGCATGAGGAATGTAGCTTAGTGGATGTAGGTGAGCCATGAGAAAAGTTACAAAAGCCTGAAATGGGCTTCAACCAAAAACTCATTGAAACTACTAATACAAACTTTTGGTGCCTGGTTCGAAGGTAAGCCCATTTGCTCATTCTTCATAGCTCAGGTAAAACAGCGGTTGTCTCAGCCTGGAATCCACAAAGGACAACAGGTTCATTAGGCAGCTGCTTAACGTCAACATATTCAGCATGATGTTAAGAGCAAGCAAACAGGGAAGCACTGGGGCAAACCACGTCCAAAATCCTGGTCCCCTGGTGCTTCTCAGGTGAGTACAGAGAAGTGCCTGAACTCATCCTAAAACCTTTCTTGAGGGGAAGTCCACCACCACTGAGTAAGAATATTTTTTTTTAAATGCTAATGAGATGAGCGCTGCCCTTTTATTATAAAAGCTAAATGATTAGCACACTTGCTCAAGATGGGACAATCCAGAGTTCCTCTATCTGCCAGAAGAATTTCTAATCTGCATTTTATACTTATGAGATGATGCCCTAACCTGTAAAATGTAGAAACAATTCTTGGAACAGGACTGGAACCCAGTCTCTTTCCCAGTGTCCTCAATGACTTATGGTATGAGTCATGCTTACTCCTGCTTTCTGGCTCAATTTGGAATTGTTTTTTTGAGCGTAACTGAATGATTTCAAGAGGAGACAGAGAATGTTGCCACTTGGAATAAACCTGTCCTTGTGATTAAAGCATTCCTGGAAAGTAAGAGTTTGTGTCTCCTAGACATAATGGGATACATTTCTCATCTTTCTAGGTGGGAGCTCTCATTATACATTATTGTTTTAAGAAGGGAGGAGGAGATGGGTGCTCTGTCTGTTTTCTCCAGATTAAAATGTAGTGTCATCTACCATTACGTTATATGAAGAGTAGTATTATATTCAGTAGCTGTATGCTTCAAGAATACTCACTGAATCTGTCAGGAAGCTTTGGTAGAGGTATATGTATTTTCTTAGTCTAGCTTTGATTTAGGAATGAGTTAAGCATGATGCTATTCAATCATGCCATGACTTATGGCAATTCTGCATGAGTGCAAATGGTGAATTCTCAGATTCCTAAGGTGTCGCAGGAGTTGATGTGATCTTACAGCACCTTAGAATTTTATAGATGTTCTGTCTGAACTTAGGCAAAACTCGAACTTTCAGATCTCTTTTGGATCTGGCCCTGTGTCCTTTGGGCAAAAGTGTCAAATTAAGCCTCATGTCAGCATTGAAGTGTTATGCTTCTGTAGAGCCAACAATTTCCAAGGATAAATGTAAATTTATTATAAGATGAAATGGAAGTGTGGAGTGATTACTTAAGGATTTGTATTTCATCAAGTGTTTTTTTTTACGATAAGAATGTTTCAGTGGTAAAAAGAGTATACGTATATACACATATTTTTATATATGTGATATTGAAGGGAAATACTTGGGAGTCAAGTAAACTATTAGTAAGTTATCAGTTAAATTATGTCCATGGTAGTGTCTCAGCAGGCAAAGTTAGTCCTGCATTAGTCCCATGTAATTCTGATCTGTTCTGATACTACCCTTTTTATTGTACACTTCTTAGAAGCTAACAGATTTCCTTTTGTTTTTATGGTTTTATGCTTCATAAACTTCATTTAAGATTGACCTGGTTTTATGATAATAATACGTAATCACGTTGCATTTATTGTGATATTCTGCAAAATCCACTTCAGCAAAATATTAAGCATATACTTTGGTCTCATTAGCAGGTACTTTTCTTCTCTCTTCAGTAAACTACTTCAGGGTGTACTTAAGTTTGTGTGTCTTGTTTCTGTGGACTTAAATAGGGGTTTGTCGCTTTGTAAAGACCTACTTGCTTATTTTGGGTAATAGCCACTACTCAGTCAGGGCTTCTGTCTTGTTGCAAAGTCAAGTTCCTTGGCCTGAGACAGCTCCCATATCTGCGAGTTTATGAGTTATTCAGTATTACTGAAAAACAAAAGAAGAATTTTTGGAACAGATCTTCATTTTTGAGGGCTTCTACAGAAGATGACGTTTAAGACAAAGTGCATTTCTGTGTTACATGGGGAATGCTATGATTGTTCAGGCTTCTTGCAAACAGTTAATAATTACAAACAGGTTGTCTGAGTGAGTAAAGGGTAAGTAATGTAGGACTCCGTCCAGCTCCCACATGGATCACTGGCTATTGCTGAGCCATTGCTCCTTACTCTACTGCGACCTGCTTACGTTGCTGCTCTTTGGAGAAGGCAGAAAACAGCTGCTAGTAAACTGCTGCTTCCTGCTCAGTGTGGGAGGAGGAGGAGGGAGGGAGAGGTTAAAATCTGACCTCACTCCACCACTGCACTTCACAGAGCAGCTGAGTCACCCTGGAAGGGAAAATGCATTGCAGCACTGGAAAAGGCCTGGCATGGCTTGTGGGCTGGTCTCCATCTACAGCTGCAAGAGCTCTGTTCTTCCGCCGTTTTCTTCTGCCAGGCGGTACTGGAGGGTACCGTTCCTGTCCACAGAAAATTAGGCTTGCTTGGTTTTAGAGTGAATTGAGTCAGGTCTGTAATGGCAAACACAGATAAGTTAGGACATAATCAGTGCAATTATGGATCTGACTGTGCCAACAGGAGTATTAGGAGCCTCATTGATGTTTCTGGGGACCAGGGATAGGCTAATTCATTGTGCTTTTGAAAATCTCACCTTAATTTTCAACTGGTTTTAATATTAACATTATGAAAAGATTGGGGTTGCCTTGAAAAGAAATATGTAGCTACTGCTTTATAGTGGGAGACAACACTTTCATTTCATTTTGTGTGAAAATGTTTGTAGTCAATGTAAAGATGGAAAAGTGTGCATTCAAAACTTAGAAGTTTGTTGCTGTATTTTAACCCATACTATCTTTGTGTTTAACCATTTTTTCACTTTAACGATTCTCTAAGGAGAATCTTAATGTTCTAATTAAGCAATTATTTTAAACAATTTGCAATAAAACACACACTGTTAAAGATCATCACTTAAATTTTTCCAAATAATAAAGCTTGAAAGCTAATGAAAATATTTCTTTTTATTTTCTTTTTTTCCCACTCTTATAGTCAACCAGTTATCAGTTTTAAAATAAGTTGCAGAGATAAATGTGCAATTCAGGCATCATCTGTGAGGTGACACCAATGGAAAATATCTCACTCAGTTATTCTGTCTTATTTGATAGTTTATATACAGCAAATGTGGAAAGTAATGTGTTTGATTATTTTTTTTTACCCGCTGAACATCTAGAACACTTTTAAAGGAAAACAGAAGACCTGAGCAAATGTAAGGTATCTCTGTTGTAGCATTCAAATTATTAAACATTCTCCTGACTCTTATTAAAGGCACTTGTGTGATCATAGTGCCAAAAGTTCAGTCCTATATGTTTAATAAAGTACTGGGCTTTGCCAAGAGGTTAGCTTTTAGTGCATAACCATACAAAGAAGTTACTGCTTTCATTTACAATGTTGTAACAGTTTAAGAATCAATAAACAGTTTTCTGTAGTCTCAAAGGCAACCTTAAGTGGAGGAAAGAAACAATAAATAGAAATAAAAAGCTAGTTAACTGAACATTTTCTGTTTTGGCAAAACTGAATTCAGTCTGTGTTTTGCAGTGTTGTTATACCCTTGACAGTTTACTCTGATCAGCCAATAAGTGATGCAGTCTTCTAAAATTCAGCAACTTTGTTAACTAAATCACATATATGCCTTTTTCTTCTGTTTGCCTTGTTTTAAAAGTTTATTTGCTTATATTTCCTCTGTATTTCAAATATATTTTTCTTATTTGGTGTGGCAGGAGAAAAGGTACCCAACAATTTTGCTTAGCACTGAAGATACTTCTGCTTTCTAAAGCTGCTTTCAGTTCTAAAACCATTGAGTTTCCATCATGAATCTTCAACTGTATCTTTTCCCAACATCATATTTGTAGCTGGTTTGGGAAAGTAATTATTTGAATGCTTGAGATCAACTAGGATGAAAGATATGTCCTGATTTCAAATATTTTTTTTTTGGTGGGACGGAGTGGAGAGGGGTGGAATATAAATTTTACTGGGTAACTGAAGACTTAAGTGCTGTACATGTGGAAAGAGGTGGAATTAAGATCACCTGTACAACCTTTAATTTCTTGACCATTATGCTTAACCATGAATCATAACTTATAATGATTTCTTAATAGTATCATAATAATTTGGCTGTCAGGGTCTCTAAATAAGCATATAAATCAGCAGTATTTAACGGATGTAATTTTTTTCTTCAGCTTACCATGGATACAGTCCTATGATGGAATGCCCACAAGGCTACAAGAGGATCAATGCTACATTTTGTCAAGGTACAATAGTGCCCACAATTGTTTACGCTTATTTTGAGTACCAGTTTTCTGTGACAAATTCTTTGATATTTATGATTTAGATGAGTGGATCCAGTCCACTGCTTATTTTTTTGGAAAAAAATGTTGAGACTCCTTTTAACTCTTTTCAAATATTCACAATTCCGTAGAGGGTTTCTTTTGCTATGGGGCAAAAAACTTGAAAAACTTTTACTTATGCTTTCATTTTCTTTGGTAGTGTTTAAAGATGGCTTCATAAGGATTCGTTTACTTTGTTTTTCAGTAGAAATACATTGTTCTGTCAGTTCTTTTGCTTAACCTGCTGTGAATCTGCAGTTAAGTCAGATGAAACTAGCAATAAGGAATAATTCCTATAATCGTGGAAGTATAGAGTAATTGGAGAACAGTTCTTTTGGATAGAAGAGGTTAGACACAGCAGTACTGAGAACAGCCAGATAATGTTACTGGCAAGTGGAAATGCACACCTGGCTGCCATGTAAAGTGATGACCCAAGTACTTCAAGAATGTGCATAGTGCAGGTGAGGATGTATGGAGTTAGATGCTGTGTAAGTTGTGTTACTCCAAGACTATGCCCTGTGTCTCCTAGCTGTAAGCATAGAAGTTATCAAAACACACAGGGCTGTGGGATCTGTGTGATCATGCAGCTCCACAGATAGGCTTGGAGGATTTAGGTTCTGGCCTACAGCATCTCTATCTGACAAAGCTGAACAGATGACCATAGACATACGCTCATTCTTTCTGTGTGTCTTGGAGTATTGATCTAAGATGCCAGATGAGGATGTAGAAAAAAGCTTAGGTTTTTTGTCTGACTTGTCTGGCACAGCTCAAATAAACAAGAGAAAGGAGCTCTGAGAAGATATGAGCAATCCTGCAATGGTACTCTGGAGAGAGGTGTGGAAAGGAAGGGAAGAATGAGTTCAGTTGAGGCTGACACTGACCTGTGGTTGAGTGTGTTAGTCATTGTTGACATTGCAAGGGTGAAAGAGGTCCCAGCAAATAGCAGTGGTGGTGGAGAGAAGGAGAAAATGAAAGAGTAATTGATGTTAAAGGATATATGTAGGCACTTTGGAGATAAAGTTAATTTTATTTAACTGAAAACTCTCAGCACATTGATGAAGGTATGTGCAGCAGCCAGCCTTATAAAGAAATTATTTTACCAACCAAAAAAATACAGTTTTTAGAGCACTAAACACAGACATTCTGCTGCTTCCACTGCTGAGGGAGATATGAACTGCTTTCTGAAAGTATAGGCACTTGAGCCTGTCTGCTGCTCAGTTTTCTACCTAGTTCTCTCTACCAGCTTTCAGGGTAGGGGCATTTGGAGGACTGTGAGAGAAAAAAAAATTGGGTTGGGTCAAAATAGTAAAATACTAAATGGAGGAGAGCTGCTAATTGCATCTAGAGAGCTTGTTCCCTGATCTGCAGTGAATGACTCTCTTAATAAATAAAAGGGATGGGGTGATGTTGATGGCAACTTACTGATGAGCACTGTGAAGTGAAAAGGTGAAGGAGATGAGTGAAAAGCATAGATGGGCCACCTTTTCATGCCTCAAATTAAACATGCAGGTGATGCATATATTTTAGCAAGATGTTTCCAACCATTTCGAAAGAGATTCTCTCATTCTCTGTATTGCTTACAAGGCTTTTCAGAGTCTGTAAAAGAGAGGATTTCTAACTTTGAGCACAGAAAGTGTCTGGAGGATGCCATGATGCATCAGTACCATCATGCATCCTTCTGAATATAATCCAGGAGAGACAGGAGCTTTTGATATCTGTAGTAATTGTGTGCAAACCCCACTGTATACACAACAGATTCCTAGACTGCAGCAACCCAGCAGGCATTTAAAGGCAAGTAGGGCATTCAGTTTGTTACAAGAGGTTATACCTAGGTGCTGGATAACCTTATTTCATGGAAACTAAGATTCTTAATTTTGGGGGCTTACAGATAGTTAAAAGATGGTCTGATGCGTGTGAAGGTTGATGGAAATAGGCCAGGAAGTTGTTGTGACAGGCTGGTAGAGAGGGAGAACTCGTGTCTCTGGATTGGAGCATAAGAGGGAGCTAAGTCTTGCTGTGGTATTGTGCAGAAATGGACCCGTACCTTGTAGGTTTGTCATTGTTTGTTGAACTGGGTTTTGAGAGTTTTTACCCTGGCACATTTTTGTACTATGTAACTAATACTGTAAGAAATATGAAACTTTAGTTTGTTTTATTACTGCTAACACTATCCCAGAGGAGAGTGAGCTGTCGACTCTAAATATAACTTGTAGTTGATACAACGAAACTTATAACTTAGAGAATCAGACAACAGGAGTTGGGTTATCCCACCAGGATGTAGATTGAGCCAGGATGAAATTTAGTCCTATTTGAAGTAAGTAACAAGATTATACTTTTCTTTCAGAGGGTCAGGATTTTGACCTCTGAACAGTCACCAGGAAAGCTAGCTTCATACATGAAAGCTGCTAGCAGTGTGCATTGTGGTCCTGAATTGGTCAGTAGCATGTGCTTCTCGATGGGTCAGACAAAAGCATCCTGTTTGTGTTTATCTGAAGCAGACATGCATTTCTAGAGAGAAGAGGACAGGGCTAATGAGGAAACAGCTGTCTCTATCACAAACACAGAGCAAATCAGCAGCAATAGCTGTGAAAACTGTTTAAGCTGCTGGCAGGAGAGTATTCGTGTTCTTGTATTAATCCTTACAATTAAATTGGAAAGGAGTGGCACAGCATGTCCATATGCAAGTATACGTTTTAATCAGATTATTTGTTGCTGAAAGGGTGTGCATGCTGTGTCCATGCTCAGAAAGGGCCAGCACTGCCAGACCATATAGTAATGGGAATAGATTTCTGAATCCCTGCCTGCACCTAAAAAAGATTGCTGCTTTCACCAAGATATCGTCCAACTTTCATTGCCTTTGAAAACCAGGCCTAAAAGCCTAATTAACCTTTTGTTCTACATTGTTTTTGCAGTCAAAAGGCCCCTTAGTTTACAAAGCCTATGTAGTATTAATGTGATTAATAACTGGGTCCTGATTTTTTTCTTTTCAAGTGAGTGAACTACTGTAATGAAACATTCTTCTCTCTAATGTGTATGTAGGACAACAAAGGACCATCTGTGGGTATGCTAATTTGAACAGTTTAGCGTAATTGATATCAAGAAAGCTTTTTTTCCTCTCAGTAATTATCTTTTCAAGGGAATGATTTATTACATGTACACACATGGGTGCCCTAAGGCTGCCATTAAAGCCAAAATACAGCTTATCAGAGTCACAACTTCCTTGTCAGAATCCACAAACAATGCTAATTTCTGGTTCCCTATTTAGAATTATACTTACTATTTCCTTCTTCTGCTAATGGTTTTCTTGGAAAACCAAAATAGAATGTTGAAAACAACTGGTGAAAAGGTTGGATTCATTTTTCAGGAAACTAACATATTGAAAACCTTATCTTTAAGACCTGGAAAAATACCTAAACACCTGTTTTTCAGTGAAGTAAAAAAGTTGTGCATGTAAGTTCCTGAGAAGTCCCATATGCTTAAAATTAAATGTATATGAGCTTGCAGAAACTAGTACTTTATGTTAGTGGATCAAATTCTGTAATCATCTAGTCTGGGGACTTCAAGCTTTTCTCCCTTAGCTTCATCATGATTTAAAATAAATTTTGAAGGTATATTCTACCCTCCGACATTTGTCCCTAAAATACAGTAATGAATATGTTTTCTCTGGTTTTTATAAATATTTTTATTAATTTTAAGTAATAAAGGAACTTAGCTTCATAAGAAATGCTATTTAATGTTACTTAGCTACTAAGTTAACAGTGTTCTTGCAAATAAGTTCTTTTATGATGATCATGCTGAGAAATAAATGTGTCTGCAGAAACAGGGCTGGGTCACTGTTAGGACATTCATTATGTGTTTGAAAAGCACGGCTCTGCAAACTTGTGTTCCAGTAAATTCCGTGCAGAAGCACAAAACACAAGTTGGATTGCCTTCTCCTGCTGCTACTCAGTTAGCTCACAGAAATCAGTGGGTCATTTCCTAGAATAAGCAACTGCTCTTTCTGTAATTTAAAAAATATATTGGAATAGTTTCATGAGCAACCAACCCTTGTTTGTTTCTTTTATGCGTTGTTGTTCTCACTTATCAGGTTATTATTGAAACGGCCAACTCTAATGGAGGCAGTAACATGGTAGTTGACAATCCAGCTATAGTAGAAAAAGTTGGAACAGTATTCTCAGTGGTGTTAGCAGGTAAAGTTGTAATTGATTTTCATAAAGAGAATAAAGAATGATGCCTGCATATTGAGCCAGTCTGGAGATCATTCTGCCAGGTGACACTCCCAGTGCAGCCTAGCATACATCTACCAGAATGAGTCACGTTTTCACTAATGAAACATAAATTATGTATTCCAGTCTCAATTTGCAACATGAGATATTGTGAATATTAAAGCATTTACTGCACGAAAACATCTGTCAAGGCAGATATCACTAAATAACATTCATGACTGACCACTAGGTCTTTTCTAATTAAGAAGTTGCCCATACTTCGTTAAATTCTAATTAGTGTGTAGTTGATCTAGAAAGCTTACTTTGCTTAAATGAAGCGAAGTGTCTTAAGTGTGTGCAGTTCCTATTGAAAGGTGAGTTGCTCGCTTTGCATCAAAAGGAGATGAACATTTTCCGTTCAGTTTTATTATTTAGTCATTTAAACAAATTCAGTCAGTTATTTAAAAGCATAGCACCAGGCAGCTGTATCAGAGGGAATGAGAAGGGCTGCAGTACTTTCTAGCTGCAAGTTTATTCTGAGTACTTTGGTGCAGCTACTAGGGCTATGGTGGTCTGACCAGGCTTTCTCCTTGTACAAGTTCTCTTTCTTTGTCTGGTTTTCCCAAGAACCTTCTGGATATCATGACTGTACTAGCTGGAGGATGTTGCATATTTAGTTTTTATTCCTTGTCATCTGTGTCATGTGTTGTCTTAAAAAATTGAAGTTATAAGTTGTTTTTTTCTGTTTATGCATGTAATATGACTTTGAAAATCTGAATTTTTTATTGTCTTTTGAGACAGGATTATTCATATCAAAAACCACAGAATCACAGAACGTTAGGGATTGGAAGGGACCTCAAAAGATCATCTAGTCCAATCCCCCTGCCGGAGCAGGAACACCTAGATGAGGTTACACAGGAAGGCGTCCAGGCGGGTTTTGAATGTCTCCAGAGAAGGAGACTCCACAACCTCTCTGGGCAGCCTGTTCCAGTGCTCTGTAACCCTCACTGAGAAGTTTCTTTTCAAATTGAAGTGGAACCTCCTGTGTTCCAGTTTGTCCCCGTTACCCCTTGTCTTATCGTTGTTTGTCACCGAGAAGAGCCTGGCTCCATCCTCGTGACACTCACCCTTTAAATATTTATAAACATGAATGAGGTCTCCCCTCAGTCTCCTCTTCTGCAAACTAAAGAGACCCAGCTCCCTCAGCTTTTCCGCATAAGGGAGATGCATCACTCCCTTAATCATCTTTGTATCCCTACGC